TGCGTCTGTCCTTCTTATCCTCCCTCGCTGGTGTCTGGTCTTCTTTTCTCTGCCTCTTTGCTGACTTTAAGAACGCCCATTTAGGATAGCCGCAGGTTTTGAGTGCTTCCTTTACATGTGTGTGTTCCTTCTTTTTTCCTTCAGGCTTAGAGGGAACATGTTCTGCCCGGTGGTGTAGGGTCCTGATTACTCCAAGTTTGTGTTCCAGAGGGTGATGGGAGTCAAAGAGGAGGTACTGGTCCGTGTGTGTGGGCTTCCGGTAAACTTCGATGTTGAGGTTGCCGTTCTCTTCAATGTGCACAGCGCAGTCCAGGAAAGGCAAACAGTCGTCCTTTGTGTCTTCCCTGGTGAACTTGATGTTTTTATCCACAGCGTTAATGTGCGCAGTGAAGGATTCCACTTCTTGTGTCTTGATTTTGACCCAGGTGTTGTCCACATATCTGTACCAGTGGCTGGGTACTCTTCCTTTGAAAGACCCAAGAGCCTTCCTTTCCACTTCCTCCATGTAAAGGTTGCTACAATAGGTGACACGGGGGAGCCCATGGCACAGCCATGTTTTTGTCTGTAAAAGCCTTCGTTGTACTTGAAATATTTAGTGGTGAGGCAGAGGTCTAACAGTGTGCAGATCTGATCGGGTGTGAAGTTGGTCCTGTCCTCCAAGGAGCTGTCTTCTTGTAGTCGTTTTCTGACAGTAATCTTGGTAATAAATCTTGAATAATAGCTCATTAACCTTTAGCTTAAACTTTAAGTTAAAAGAAATAACAGAAATGAGAGTGCACATGCACATAGCTCTACAAAGGCAGAATATCATCTGTTGCATTAGCAGAATAACTGAGCTACAATGGCAGTCTATTTTTGTTTCGAAGACATTTTTTCTTGTGCTAAGCACGATCTTTTGTTACGACCGTGTATTACTACCAAAGCTGGCCACATATGTTTCTGCACGCTGTAGCTCATGCAGTAGATTTAATACTATATTAACAAGAGAGGATATCTGTAAATTGCTTTGGTGTGGAAACTCTGACATTAGCTCCGGTTCTCAGTCTGATGAAGCTGTAGCCTCCCACAGATATGACCGGGTTGGCGGGTGGATGATTTCCGGGCTTGGCGCAGGGTTGGTGGTGGAGGATTAAGTGGGTGTCATGATTCGGCTGTGTGGCAGGCAGGAGAGGACCCAAACGCAAACTCACGGAGACAAAACATAAGCTAAAAGCTAAACATAAAGTATACCAGGAACCACGGGGAGAATCACACACAGCATGAGGGAGACTACGACACTGACAAAGAGAAACACAGAGCTTAAATACACAGAGGGATAACGAGGGAATGAGACACAGAAGGAGAGCACAGCTGGGAGTAATCAGGCTGGACGAGACAGACGCAAAACTAGAAACACTCACATGAGACACGGACCTTCAAAGTAAAACAGGAAACACAATGACTGAATTCTAAAACACGCAAACTTAACAGCAACTGGAGAGACAGAACATAGGAACCTGAAACATGGTACAACACATCACAGTGGACATAACATGGAACACAGGGAAGCCATATAACAAAGCCAAAGAGCTAAACCTAAGATAACCATAACAGACCTAGGGAAACAAGAAACAGTACATCAAAGGACTCAAAACATAAACCATAATATAAAAGCACAGGATCTCTTCCAAATAAATAGGAAACATAATGAGACGCAGACATGACAACCAGAACTTGACAAGGTAAGACACAGTCATGAAACACACGAAGAGCAGGGGAGACTTAACATGGGTTGGAAACACGAGGGGGAACTAATAAGCAAATGAACATAGGAGGCCTAATGAGCTTAACATACTATAAACATCAAGATGAACTAAAACTCAAAACACTGGGTCCTAAGACCCAGGATCGTGACAGAGGGATTTATACTTTTGCATTAAATGTGCACCATAGGTATGCTGTAATAGCAAACCTTTCAGAAATCCCACTCTTTAACCTCCTAAGACCTGAACTCTTCCACAGCAGCATTTTTAATTTCTCTTTGATTTTTGGGCTGATTGGGACCTGATGAATGTAAAAACAAAGAACTACCAGATTTATTTTTTTTTACCTGATTTATTATTTTTTTTGCCTGTCCCATTTGGTTCTTTAGCCGTCAGAATTGTTGTCTGAAGACCAACAAGGAGACCCGATGGATTTATTTTGCCAAATGGATCATCGTGGCATTGCCGTATTGGTCCATTTGATCGACCTTTGTTTTTATTATTTATTTTATTTTATTTTCAGTTGTTACAGATGGGACAGACATGAGTGAGGGATAGGAAAGGGAGAGAGAAAGAGGAAGGAAAATTTAAACAGAAGGGGAGAGGGACAGTGAGAGAGGGAAAAAAAATCTCCTGGATCACCTGTGGAGAGAGAAATAGAAAACAAGCAAAAAAAAAAAAAACCAAAGCAACATACTAAACACAACAGCATCGCATTAATCTAGCTGAGTGTAAACAGCAGTAAATACTAAATATTGAATGTTGTTGTGCAGCACGCAGGACAGACAGCGCACAATGTGCTTTGAAGTAGCAGCCAAGAAAGGTGTAGTTTAAGTCTACGAACAGTGAACACCCGTGTGCACACCTGTGTGGATCAGCGCGCTTGTATTCAAAAGGTTTCCCCATGTAATGGTCTGCAAGAGGATGTAGAGAGCCATAGCCCCGCCCCCCAGGGCATGAAGCAGGCATGGAGGAGATCCAGGCTCCAGACATCCAGAGGCCCCAGAGTGCGAGAGCCCAAGGAGGACCACCGGAGGGGCATCCGTGCCACCCTCATGGGAAGGGCTGAGGATCCCCAGACGAGGCGTCACCCAGTAGCCACCGAGCAGAAGCTAGAGGGGGCTGCACCGGCATGCCCGCCGACTCTGCCGGCAGCCAGCTGTGCCAGAGTGAACCGAGCCGCAGGCCCAGAGGCCGGAGGCCTGAGGGTCCCCCGCACCCCGGAGGAGGCCTGACCGAGCAACAGGCGCCAGGCCCACCAAGTAGCCACCGGGAGTGAGCTGATTTTTGTTTCTAACAAAATGAGAGCCACATATGAGGACATTCGTTTAAAATTTCAATAGAACAGTAGCAGCATAATGTCCTCGTAAGTAGACATCAGGCCCTTGTAGAGCAAAAGTGAGTATTTCAGAATCAGAATCGTGTTTATTGGCCAGGTATATGCACAGACACATACAAGGAAGTTGGTTCCGGTAGATGGTGACTCTCAAGCACAGCAATGTAAATCACACACACGTGTCTATATATACACACACATTACACATGCATACACATACATACACAAAGCTGTGTAAACCAACTATATATAACCAATCTAAACTTATATACATAGAATACAGGATGACAGAAATGAAATGAGGTGGAATGAATACTACAGGATGTACATAAGGTGCAGTTGCAGTCGGGCAGTGGAAGCAGTGTGACAATTTGGTCTAAATAACCCCAAATGTGATGTCCACATATGTGGACGCCAGGGGCCCGTTCTTCATACGTCGCTTACTACATCCAAGATCAAATGACACATCCAAGACCAAATCATCGCGCTAACCGTGAGCTCGCTAATCCGGTTCTCCGAACTCACCTGCTGTTGGCGATTAGTACAGCTGGATGAAGTAATGTGAGATCACTGGGTGGCCCAACAGGGGCTACGCATCGATAGTAGAAACATTGATCGGCAACCCTCTGATTGGTCGGCGACAATGTCGAAGGAGAGCGCTTGATGTTTTTCGGCAGCAGAGCAAGAACTCTTGAGTGAGGGATTTCAGGAGTTTCAGAGTTTAATTAAAACGCAAGGGAACACTGCAAAGGCTGCAAAAGCAAGGAGAGAGGGCTGGCAGGAAGTTGCTGACAAATTAAACTCGTAAGTAATTCAATAATAACAATAATAATGGAGTGGATTTATATAGCGCTTTTCAAGGCACCCAAAGCGCTTTACAATGCCACTATTCATTCACTCTCACATTCACACACTGGTGGAGGCAGCTACAGGTGTAGCCACAGCTGCCCTGGGACAGACTGACAGAGGCTGCCATATCGCGCCATCGGCCCCTCTGGCCAACACCAGTAGGCGGTAGGGTAGATTTATTATATTACACGATATTATCCAATATTATATTACATTATATTATAATATGTTATATTATATCCCCTTTCACATTAGAGCCACAACAGGACCCACTAGAACATGGGAACAAGTAAAAGTGAAATATAAGAATATTCTACAGAATGGTAATATTTATCACTTATATTGCTTGTCGTCTCTTGGAAAGAGACCCTGAAATAATCTGTTTGTTTGTTTATAACAGCAACCAAGAAAAGGGCAGAGCAAAAAAAGACAGGTGGTGGTCCTGCACCCCCTCGTCAACAAGTTGGTTAAGTAAATAATACCCTCACGGGAATATCGATGTCTCTCTATGAGCACACTGTCGCGCTGAGCTAAAGGATCCTGTCTGTCCCGCAATATACGCTGAATCCTGAAAACTCTCCTTATCAATCTTGCACCTTCCGCAATGGGTGGCTCGCGTATACGGACAGGACATGGCTGCGACAGACTTCCCAAATCCACCTTCGCTTTTATAGCCGTGGTCTCTCATCTTGATTACACAAAGTAATTTACAATTACTACTCTGAAATATGAATTACATTTGTAATAATCACATACATGTAATAGAATGTTAATAGTACATTTCCCTTTTTTAGGGAATGACCTGTATGTATCTGTGTGAAATCAATAAAAGGATCAAGTGCTGCATTATCTTTAGTTACATTGATGTTATTTATTTATGGTGAAACAGTGGTGGAATATCGCTGTTGCTTTCGTATGAATGACGCGGACATACCTGCGTGGCCGCGATCTAATCCTGTTTACATAAAGTAAGCCTGCTCCCCAGCAGGTTTATGCTTACGGCTCTGTTGCTATGACAGCAAGTCCCGGATGAGCTTCGGGGAACCGAACGATCCAGGATCACGCGAAATCGTCAACAATCAAATCCAGCTAACTTACTTAGCGAGGTACGAAGAACGGGCCCCAGGTCCTGGGAGGTTAAGTTGACATGCACCTCCCTAAAAAAAACAAAAAAAAAAACAAACTAACTACATGTTTCAGCACTGCAGCCAAAAGCTGATTGATCAATTCATTATTTCCTGTTCTGCATTTCTGGCTGTTGCTTCTATTACAATTTTCAGAAGCGAATAGAAGACAAAAGACCAACTTGAAGACAGGAAGTCCACTGCCAAAGGTGTAGAGCAACACAAGTCCACCATGCACAGGTACAATTACTAGCAATGGGGTCAGCCACTTGCACAGGCTCTACGTAATTCAAACTGAATCAAAGCTTTACTGATGGCATCAGAACCAATGATGGCTTTTTAATCTGCTGTCAGGGCTACGTCATGCTGGTGATGGACATTTTGCACTTTGCTGAATGAGCACCAGTTCATTAGGCGGTCTCTTATAAACAGCACCATCAGCCACACTAGCCGTGTGTCTCGGTTTGCACAGCTCTTCCAATCTGTGTGTACGCCTAGTGTGTTCACAGCAATGTACAAAGCAGCTCAACACGGCAGCACAGCTAGCATTTTGGAGGTGTGACTACAGATCCATGTGGACAGGTAACACTGGTTAATATACTGGTAGAAGTACAAATGCTGTGTTTTACTGTGTTTGCAACACAGACTGAGTGTAAAAGAAAAATGTGCAAACTCAGAGATGCGTGCGTGCGAGAGATTTCCTGCGTATAAAAGGCTGCACTGCTCCCTGAGCTTAGACTTACATGTCAACATGAAGTCATACATTGGACAGTGAGTAAACAGATACAGTTGATCCTGTCTATACCGTTTTTCTCGGTGGGACTGGTCATACCCCACCACACAGAGATATGACCACAAATCATTGCAAATGTTTTGAAATAAAAATTAAGCTTCATTTGCACATCAGCGCAGCCAGAAAGACATTTAAAAAATATCAAAAAATGAGAGACATGTTTTTTCCATGAATCCATCATAGGGGTGTATGGGGGCACTGTGAGCCACGGATAAACAGCTTGTACCTCACTCACTGACCCAGTTGTAGCGCGGTGAAGAACAAACATCCTCCCCTTCAACTAGAAGCTTGTCTGAACTCGCCATACAGAGGCGGGGGGAAATGAAGAGGTCCAGCAATAGCTGCGTCACAGAGCAGTTCTTCCCTCCGTGCACGTTTTCCTTATTAGACTGCTCGTGATTACAGGACACTGATGAAAGGCTCCCGACTTTTCCCATTCTGATTGTTGGTTAGTTAGAGGCTTTTAAATGGTTGCTGACATGACGTCATGCAGTAAAGCTGAAATTAGGACCTCATGAACAAAAAACACTGCACTTGAATTGGAAAAAAGCCCTGATTAAACACCAGCTTACAGTTTTGTTGTGGACGTTGTTATCATTACCTTCCAAAAAGCAGTTACAGACAGAAGAGCAGTTACTGATCCAACAGCACCCTTAGACAAGTCGAAGTGCCAAAAACAACCGCCCCCGGTGGCCACATGAGGCCGACTGCAAACACCGGTCAATCCTCCAACTCCCGTGTTAAACACTAAACATGTTTATAGGCAGCTACAAATAACAGTGTGGTTTATATCACTAACTTCCCTCTTCATCAGCTTCTTCATCAGCTGTACACGGCTGATAAAACAACAGGAAAACAACTTGTAATATACAGAGACACATAAAGTCTGTAGAACTGTATCCATGGTTTAATATTAACACCTGTGAGAACAATCGTGTGGTTGTAATGTAATTAAATATATTATTATAATATCCGTGTGTGCGTGTTATTCATTAATAATAAAGTTCTATTAACCATTCAAGAGTATATTTATCATAATAAAGTTATCGTGATGACATTTTTCCATCATTACCCAGCCTCAGTCTACCAGCGTGACTCCCTATCTCATTATTTCAATTCTGATTCACTCGGAAGCATTTTAATGGAACTACAGAACAAATATTACTAATTACTAATGTGCTTATTTGAACTGTTTTATTTTCAGTGTGAGGAAGTCTTGAGACAGCCCTTACTGCTCTACATTTTGGGTGCCATACCCTTTTCTCATTTTTAAAGTGATCCCGAGCAACAGTTCTGCAGGATTTTCTCTGGAAACCGGCAGCTTTTTCACTCACCCATGGTCCAGTCCAGACCGTTTTCAGAGGAATGTGGGGTTTTCTTTTTGTTGGTTTAGCCATTTAACACAGACCTATGAATCACCCAGACATAAAAACTACATCTAACTCATGTCTAAACACAACACTGTAGATTCTTCAGTTTAATCTACGAAAGGTGGAAGGGAGGCTGCCACACACAGGTTTGTTGGAGCGATTAAAAGGAGGAAAGTCAGCACAGACTGAGAGCTCTACAGCCCTCTGTAAAACATGGTGGGGGCGTTTCGGTCAGAGGTGTTGGCAAGTTCAAAAACACTAATGTCATTATGAATGCATAAAAGTACCATCAGATTTTAACACTACAAATCATCTAGAAAGTATCTGATTGACCCATGGCTTCATTTTTTGATATACTGTAACAATGACCCCAAACACACTGCGTGCAGTAAGAGCACGCCTGGACAGAAAACAAGCACACAGTGCAGACCTCGACATTACTGAAGCAGAGCGGGATCGTCCTGACAGAGAACCGAACAAAAGCAGCCGAACAAAGACGAGCGTTGAATGTCCTGAAGAGGAGAAGACAGCTATTCCTGAAGATAACTTCCCACGTGAGAAGCAGAGTTCAGGCTGTGTTAAAGATGATTGTACCTAGGGGTGGAGGGGTGGGGGAAAAATCGATACTGTGTAGTATCGTGATATTTTGTATCGATGCAGGGACAGCAGAAATCGATATTTTGTTACAAAAAGGTTTTTGTGCTCTGACTTCAGAGCATGTTGATCCTTTTTCTGAGCAAGAACCCTGACATCCCTTCACTGTCCAAATGTGTTTAACTGTTTTTGGCAGCAATAAACATGACAGTTTACTTATTTTAATTTAAGACATGTTTTATTTTAATTACGTTTAAAACTTTTTTATTTAATGTAAAATCATATTTTGTTTTAATTTACTTTCAAATTCTTCAGTTGCTGAATGGGCTGCATAGTTTTCATAAATAGCTGTAATTGTACCAGATGGTTGCATTCAGTTAAGCTGGACTAGACTGTAATACAAACCGTTCAGCTTGTCAACAATAAAACTGAAATGAGAGAAAGACTGAGTGCGAGACTTTGATTTTAGATAAAATGAATATTGATAAAGTTTACCTTTATGGACAGAATCTGAATATCGCAAAATATTTAAAAAAAATTGCAATAATATCGTATCATGCATTAAGTATTGTGATAACATCGTATCGTGGGATGTATGGTGATTCCCACCTCTAATTGTACCAAATATTGACTTCCGAGCTCAGGTTTTTGCCTTATATGTATCTACATTCAATATAGTGCCACACCCGTTCCTGTCTTCTTAAGCTATAGTTTTGCACACATCTCTGTTTCACACCTCCATATTTTGTCTCCTTTTATATCTTCAGTTCTATTCCTGTTGTATATATTAATCAGCATCTGTGGGTGGACAGCAAAGAAAGGATTTCATTGCACAGAGAAATGCCCTTTTTCTCTTGTGACACATGACACTTTGGATCTTTGAATCTTAGTAAAACATGTTGAAGAAAAAACACAAACTGATGGATAAAACATATTACAGGTCATATACAAAGAGTTAGTGTATTACAAAAAGGGAAACAACTGTTAGTGCAATGGGTGAACGCAATATCACGATGGTCAGGGCATGTACAATACTGGGGTTTGTGCAATATAATTGATGTGTTTCCGTTATTGTTATCTATACTGTCCTCTGTGTCCACTCTCCTTGTCATTGTTTGTTATAGTATAATGTGATCACTGTTTTTGTCCTTGTCACATGACCTGTAAAGAGTGTCTCTGTATGTTTTTACTAACTTGTGTTTAACACCAACCTGCCAGAGGGTCTGCAGATGGAAATTAGCCCAAGGCTATAATCTGGCATATTTACATTTGTTAAAATGTTCATTAATATGTATTGCCCCTCTTTCTAAAAAATAAATAAATAAATAAATATGTGTGATGCACCCACACAACTCAGTTCAGCCTGCCAGCCTTAGCTAATAGCTCTGCCTCTTGGCAGGAAATATCAAAATACAGACGATAATGAACATCACATTAGCCGAGTTAATAAAGCAACACGTGGCAAAGGGAGCACTGTGCAGACTGATCATCACATTCATTTTGGGTTTAAACTAGGGCTGCACGATTAATCGTTAGAAAATCGCGATCTCGATTCATACTTATGTGCGATCTCATTTCCAAATGACAACGATTAAAAAAAAAAAAAAAAAAAAAAAAAAAAAGACGACGACGTCCCGGCATTTTGATCCGGGACGTAATCTGCATGACAACAAGCGCTCACTCTTCCTGCTCAACGAATGACGAGGACGGAGCCTTATACCACGTGATACAGAAGCTGTGCCGTGTGATGCTAAAATTAGCAGGAAAAAACAACGGAGAGCACGTCAGGGATGACGAGAAAGTGACAGGAGAAAATCCGTCCGGGTCAACCACCCAAACACCAATAACAGGAACCTTATATAGCGCTTCCCTGTACACGTCGAACTCCCGCAGGCACAAAGAAATTACGGAGGCTATCACTTATCACCTGACCAAAGATATGGCTCCCATCAACACTGTGCAAAACGAGGGATTTAGGAAAATGATCAACACCCTAGACAAACGCTACACAGTGCCGTCCCGCAACTATTTTTCTATTGTTGCACTACCTGCTCTGTACACGCAGCGTCGAGCAACGGTGGAGACGGAATTTCAAGCAGTACAACATTTTGCGGCAACAACAAAACGTGAGACATTTGTTGTTTTATGTTTATTTATTGTTTTTATGTTCAGTCTCAACTGTTACGAAGTTGATGTGCAGTTAATAAGTGCAATAAATATTTATACTGGAAAAGAGAATCGTGAGAGAATCGTGATCTCAATTCTAAGCCAAAAAATCTTGATTCTCATTTTATGCAAAATCGTGCAACCCTAGTTTAAACCTCACTCAGTTACTGAATGAAGGAAATGTACAACAGGACGTCCCTCAGAACTAGTTTGATGTTAACTTTATGGTGTGCAGCTTTGCACAGTAAATACACAATCTACAGTTAAACGCAGAGCTACATGCCTTACCTGCAAGATGACAATGCACCGTGCTCTGCATTTGTTTATGCGGTCACACTCTCAAAGCCCCCAGAGACACCGGTCAATCTGTGGACACACAGACAAGATTGCTCTGAAACACAGTACAAAACAAAATGAAAAGAATCGGCTCCTTTGGAAAGAAACGACTCCACTGAGTTAAAGATCAGCAGCAAGTGCTATCCATCTATGCCTTAAATAGGAAAGACTGCTGGTGCCAATTTTCCTTGAAAATCACTGCTGGAAATAAGCTTGTAAAGGAATCCACGGAAGAATTTTTTATTTTTTTTTAAGTGTAAGACAATAAAAGAGAGTCTGGTAAAAAAAATAAATTAAAACACAGAGACCGAAATAGGCAAAATCTACAAGTCTGTTCCTTCCCCTCGACCTCGAAGCTGAGAGGTCACACCACTCGCGGGTCTGTTAATAAGGTCTGCAAAGGTCACTTTATTGTGAAGATTAGGTCACATACTCAAGGTCATGATATGACCTTGAGTATGTGCAAGGGCTCAGCAGAACAGAAGGCCATTCAAAGGCAGCATATGGTTCACATCAGCAGTTCCTAAGGTGTGTGTCGATAGAGAGAAGATGAAGACAGTGGTCGCCACAGAGGGGGTTAAATATGGACGGACGAGCTGACAGGGTTTGTTGCAGGTAGACAACTCTCCAGCAATCTCCGCCGTCTGTTCAATGTAGTATATACTGCTGAAGATAACATTATGCCAGAGATTGTGATATCCTTAGATGCCCACAAAGCCTTTGATCGAATAGAGTATTACTATCTATTTACGGCCCTCGAAAGATTCGGCTTTGGTCCAACATTTTGCTCATGGATTAAAATAATTTATTCGAGCCCCCAGGCTATGGTGAGAACGAATAATATCGTATCTGAACCCTTCTCTCTATTCCGGGGAACAAGACAGGGGTGCCCTTTGTCACCCCTGCTCTTTGATGTGGCAATTGAACCCCTTGCGATGATGGTAAATGGTAAATGGCCTGTATTTATATAGCGCTTTACTAGTCACTAAGGACCCCAAAGCGCTTTACATATCCAGTCATCCACCCATTCACGCACACATTCACACACTGGTGATGGCAGCTACATTGTAGCCACAGCCACCCTGGGGCGCACTGACAGAGGCGAGGCTGCCGGACACTGGCGCCACCGGGCCCTCTGACCACCACCAGTAGGCAACGGGTGAAGTGTCTTGCCCAAGGACACAACGACCGAGACTGTCCTAGCCGGGGCTCGAACCGGCAACCTTCCGATTACAAGGCGAACTCCCAACTCTTGAGCCACGATCGCTGAGACAGGCTGCTGAATTGGTAGGGATACAAAGGGGGACACAAAACCATAGGCTGTCCTTGTATGCTGACGATCTCCTCCTTTTTCTGTCAAACCCTGCCACTAGTATCCCAGTGGCCCTTGGTATTATCAAAGATTTTAGGAGGGTGTCGGGCTATAAAATTAATTTAGACAAAAGTGTTCTTTTCCCCATTAATAAACAGGCGAGGAAACTTTCTTTCCGGGCCTATCCCTTTGCAATACATAAGGATAGATTCGCATATTTAGGTGTTAATGTAACTAGTAAGTATAAAGATTTACTGGACTATAACTTTAAAGTTGCACTGGACAAAGCGAAATTAGATGTGGAAAGGTGGGCGTCGCTCCCCTTATCATTAGCAGGGAAGGTAAATTCTGTTAAAATGATTATACTGCCGCGGCTCCTCTATTTATTTCAGACGATACCGATTTTCATTCCTAAATCATTTTTTAAGGAATTGAACAAATGTACGTCTGCCTTTATTTGGAAAAAAACTGTCCCCAGGATAAGACGGGAGTTTCTTGAGAGACAGAAAGAAGAGGGAGGTCTGGCTCTGCCGAACTATATGCACTACTATTTTGCTGCTAATATACATAAGTTGTTATTTTGGGTCAAAGAGTTGGATGAGGATGAAACCCCAATATGGGTTCATATGGAAAGGTATGTCTCTAGTCCAGTGTCCCTGCGCTCCCTGGTCTTTAACCAAGACATCTTTACACAAACAACCCGGTGGTATCTCATTCTCTGAAAATTTGGACTCAATTCAGATCACATTTTAAAAACAGAACCGCCCTCCTGTCTGCTCCCATCTATGGAAATCACTTGTTTCCCCCAGCCCTCGGGGGAACAGCCTTTAGGGAATGGCATAGAGCTGGGGTGGAATGTGTCAAACATCTTTTTAAAAATGGTACTTTTATATCTGCTGCTCAACTGGAAAAGGACTATGGAATCTCCTCCAAGACTAATTACTTTAGATATTTCCAGGTTCGGGACTTTGTGAAAAAGTCATTCAGCCCCTCCCTCGAGCTTCCACAAAGCGGATGGATAGACGAGTTGATGGACACAGATCCGACTGCTAAGGGGACAATCTCCACGCTATATACACATATTCAGAATGTGGCTTCCCCCTCCCTGGACAATGTAAGACGGAAATGGGAGGAAGAATTGGGGCTGGACATTTCAGAGGTTGACTGGGGGGGGGGGGCTGTAGATCTAGTACACTCTGCTTCTATATGTGTGAGACACGGATTGATACAGTTCAAGGTGTTGCACAGACTGCATTTGTCAAGGGAGAAACTGGCAAGAATGTACCAGGGGGCCGATCCGACCTGCCCCAGATGTAAACAGGTACCAGCCAACTTATGCCACATGTTCTGGTCTTGTTCCAGGCTGAAAGACTTTTGGGCTAACATCTTTAGAACATTCTTATTCATTTCTAATAAGGATATGGAACCAATGCCTCTGACAGCCATCTTTGGTGTGGCACCGAGGGAAACTCAACTAACAGCCTCTCAGAGGAAGGCAATAGCATTCGCCTCATTGCTGGCTAGGAGATTGATTCTACTTAACTGGATAAAGGCAACACCGCCATCCCATAAACGCTGGGTGGAGGAGGTGATGGCACACCTCAAATTAGAACATCTCAGATTTACTATACAGGGCAACACCAAGAAATTCTTTAAGGTCTGGCAGCCTTTCATTTCCTATTTTGAAGATGAGTTTCCTTCCACTCCATAACTGGCAACCCCCCACCTTTTTTTTTTTTTTCCCCCTTTTCTTTTCTTCCTCTGTCTGGGTATAGTTTTGTCTTACACTGTGCGGTAGGACTTGAGTTCGAGCTTTTCTGTATGAATGATATGCTTTCTGAAAACTCAATAAAAACACTTTGATTATTAAATATGGACGGACGAGGAAGCTTTTAGTCCGTTTTGAGCAACGGGCTCGGGTTAGACGGACCCATTTATCCCAACATAACAGCTCAAAGTTTCTCCCCACACTCCAACACTGGAGGGGTAGCATTTACCCCCTCACACTGAGAGCAGTCTTTAAAAGAAAACTCTTTTCTACCTCAAAGCTTCGGAAAGGCCCAAAGACAATCAAAGCATCGATTCTTCTCAATAAAGAACATCCTTCCTGTTTTTGTCATTTAAATACAGATATGAAGACGCTTCGCTGCAAATGTTAAAAATCAAAATCACGAGGTTCAGTTTGTAAAAATTCTGCCCTTTGTCATCACGCTGTTGCCTTTTCCCCTGTTGCTTACTGTGATCATGTGACAGCCTGTTGGTGTGGAAAGAGCTCAGACATGCAAGTATCTCACAGGCAATTCCCATCAACCCCAGGTCGCCGCTAGGCCTTCGCCAAGCATGCATACACCAATTAATCCGATGGCTCGAGTCACAGTCAACTTTCATTTCCAAAGAAGTCGCTCGAATCCAAGGGAGGGATCTCCCTCCCAGTACCTCGCAGTTTCTCCAAAATATCAAGTGTAACGCGGTTAAAGGACCAGGGCGCCTGACTGCAGCTTCATAGACAATGAGCTATCAGAATTAGTTTAGACTATGGAGCCTGAGTGTGTGAATAAAACACAGGAAACCAAAGTAGAGCTCAAAAATATATATATTATGTTTGTTTTGAGAAATGTATAGACAGATGTACAAAAAATAAATAAATATGCATATATATCACAACCAAAAATAATGTTGACAATACAAAACAGCTTATTAGGTTCCAAAAGGAGGTGGGATGAGGTGTGGTCCAGTATGAGATTTAGTTTAATTCCATGGACCTGTGATAGGTCATGTGTCAACAGTTTAATTCAGTCCATAGGTTTACGATTCCTACCGCAACGTAGCGGTGGTCGGGTGGCTCGCCATCCCGCGCTGATCAGGGCTGATCGCGGGAGAAAAGAAAAAAAAAAAAAAACCTGACCTAGACAAGGTCAAAAACATAAATTATCATTCACAGAAGAAAATGAAACAGCATTCTACTGCTGTGACAAAATACATAAATCCATAAATAACCAAGACAAGTAATTAATGCCATGTTGCATACAACAATTAATAAACCATCATCTCTTATAATGAATGAATGTCATTCAAAATACTACTATAGAAAAACATTCTCATGGGTCCCATCAAAGTATATCAGCAATAAAGCTAATAAACATTATCCAAAGTTAATCACATATATTTACAAAACTCATTTAATCACAGGTGTTGCGCAACAGATTCAATAATCTCAGTGGAATTTAACTCAATGCAAAATCAGAGTCAGAGGGCGCTGCTCTTGCAGCGACCAGCAGGTTTTCTCCGTCTGTCAGTGTTTTAACTTATTTTATATCATTTTTTTATTCCTTTATCTTATTTTTTTGCCTGAGGAAATCCTATAGCATCGGCTTGTGCTTTGTGGAACTTCTTTTAATGAAGATGGGTTTTTTATTTCGCATGGTTTTATTAGCGTCTTCAAGCAACTTAAAGAAGTCCAGATGCTTTTCTTTGCAAGCTCCTTTGACTACGATGACCTGGATGACTGAGAACCTTCACAGACATTTTGTACCTAGTGCTATTATCATGGTTAATAACACTAAACCATAAGGGTTGTTGCCATTGCACATTGCACTTTTTGATGAAAAATCTAGGTTGTTCTATCAGGCTTTTATTATATTATCTTGGTGAGTGTATGTGATGTGTTGGTTGTCTGTTTGCTTGTTTGTACGGACACACTGCAAATCAATTTCCCGTT